GGTAAAAATCTGCCTATTATTTTGTTATGTGGTCAGAGTAAAATAAATTATCTGATTTTAATAAAGGTAAAATACAATATAGTAGGAAATCAAGTGTTTGGATTTTTTCAGTTTCTTTTCTGGCCACCAGATGTCATCACAATACTAGGTTGTGTGTGGTTTTTTTTTGTTTTTTTTTAACTAAGAAGGCTTTGAAATTCATAAATACGTGGATCACATACTACACTGAAAAATATAACATTAAAACTGTGCTACCCAATTTAAATTTTGCTTTTTTTATAAAGATTGCAGCCTAATCCTTTTTCCATCTGGAAAAAAAAGGGTTTATGCAGCTTACTTAATATGTTAGTCACAGTTGTTACTATAAATTACACTTTTTTACCGGGGCAACACACTGAAAGGGATGGTTTATCACACCCAACAGAAAACATAAGTCATGCAAAGGTTACAAACTCCAGCCCCATATTTTTTTATCTTCACCACATGTAGAACACAAGTTCGATTTTATTTAGTTTTGGTGTCTGTGTACAAGGTTCTACTTTTTAATTAATGGCCATGCAATGTGTGATCTAGATGCAGCTAGTGAACTTAGGAGGCAAATTTGTTTCTCTTACATTTGCTTGGCAGCTCGAGTTCCATCACGTTTACTGATCATGACACTAGCTTCACTTTGGTAGTTCAGGACGCAGATTTTTTATGTTGGTACATTTTTGTCATTTTTCAAGTCTTTAATTGTGTAAGGATTTTTACCTTTTATATACCATGTCTCCCTATAATCAAGGTTATAGGAGTCCATTATTTACTTCCCCTTCTACCCCCTTCTCTTATTTACAAGAAATTGGGTATGTTTTTCATCTGAATTAATATCTATTCTGCTTTGGTCCTTGCCATCATTTTTGCGTAAAGTCTGCTACTTATTTACTCCCCTAGCTATTTGCAGTATTGAATCCAGTTTGCTCTCCCTTCTACTTGGGACTTTAAACATCCACCCTTGTGTCTTTCTCAGGCAGTGCATACTCTGTGCTCCCACTCACAATCGGCATTTATTATAGCACTGACCTTAGAATGCCTGATGTTAAAATCAAGAGCAGGTCATTTATTGTGCATGTGGCAAAGCTGATCAACTCCTACAAAAAAACTTTTATGCCAGGACTGTAACATTTGCTTGGTGTGCTAAAAGCCTTTATGTACATTATTAACAGAGAGCTGTAATTTATTTTGCAGTCTTCTATGTACATGATTTCAGAATGCAGAGCTTCTTTATCAACCCTGTAACCAAAACTCTTTTGATTAAAGGAACAAAAGAAACATAGATGTTTATTCTCTGCTGTATGTTGGAAGAAAGGAGCACGTAGACATTCTTAACTTAAAAATGCTGAACAAATGAATGAACTACAAGAGATTAAGAATGTAGCGATTAAAGTGAACCTGGGCCCAGGTCGTGCACAAACAGTATTTATGCATTCTGATCAAGCAGTGAGCACATTTCAAAACAAATCCTCATTCATTTCTGTATCGGTAAGCAATTTCTAGTGATTACATTTAAAAGTTCACAACACAGGCAGCGTCTTCTCATGAGATCAGATTCGTACTGCGTACAGTTTTATATGGATCTGAACACAGCAGTATTGTAGGCTATTCGCCCATTCATACAGCGGCATTGTGGTTAGCATTCCCCCCATAGTGTTGAGCTGCGTATACCTAAAGTAGAAAAACATTTTTTGTCTACAGTCTAAATCTAGAAATATTTTCCATGGCATGCATGTGAAACTTTTTATGCAAACGTTTAATTTAGGTGCTGCCATCCCTAAATGAGCCATTCACTAGGCTGCAACAGTGGTGGCACAGGGTGAGCTCAGCCTTTAGTTATTCAGAAGGAATGTTAATTTTTCTGACAGCAAGATCCTGCATACATTTCTACCCTCATGTGCATGAACCCTATGCTGTTAGAAACCCAAATGAAAATCTAGAATTTGGCATAATACTTTACAGCAGGGGCGCCCACAATTTTCCATCTAGAGATCTACTTTTCACATGACGAGCTCAAAGAGATCTACCAACGAAAAAACACCTGCGTTCAGTGGTCGGAGGGGGCGTGGCGGTGCATTGAAGGCAATGGCACTGCAGCCAGGCCCCTCGCCCACAGTGCGATCGCCTGCACCCGGAACCCAGGCACATTAGTGCCTGCGTTCCGGTCCAGTGCGATCCGCAAAAATGCTGCAAGCACTGCGTTCTGGGTGATTGAACTGTGGGTGGGGGACATGGCTGCGGTGCAACCCCACGTCCCTGAAGGCAGGGAGTCGGCTGGCTTGCATTCCAGTGCGTTCTAGAGGCGCCGGATCTAGTCCTGAATAAAAGCCATGGAGTGGTAGATCGATGGCAGAACATCAAATGATGAAGGGGGCGTGCCCCGGAAACGCGTCAACGATAACCCGCATATAGGAACCGTTCAGCTGATGTCCGCTTGCCTGCCATCGATCTACCACTCCATGGCTTTTATTCATTTATGTTTGTGAGTACCTTTTTATTGCTATGATCAATTGAATAAAATGTATCTGCACCAGGAAAGGCGCCCTCCTTTGTGCTTTCTTCATCTTTTACCCCTGTTTTAGGAGAATCTTAACCATCTGGAAATTTTAAAAAGTTGGAACATTTTAAATTGTGAAATGAAGAATCTGCTTTTGGAAGCTGAAATTACTCAACTATGACACACATTAGCTGCACAATCCAAGTAATTCCTCTTAAAGTTCCATGGGGCCCCCCTGTCTGGATTGGTGACATGGAAGTTTACTACCAAAGGCATTATTTTTAGTATATGCAAACGTTCTTCCTTTGCCACTCCATGCACAAAATTGGCTTGTAAAAATAAAATCGGAGGACAATTTACCTGCACTGACTGATCCATGTATTTTGGAGGCCCTGTCAATTGTATCGTCATCTCAAAAGCTTATCCGGCTGTTTATATTACACAGAGCAAAACATACCCCAGAAAGGCTTTATCAGTGTAGTCATACACTTGACCCAAACTGCACAATATGTGGGCATCTCCAGGAGAACTTCCACACATGCTGAGGAGGAACCCAAAACATTTTAGCTATTGGAAGGATATATTGATTACTATTAATAGTGTTTTCCACAATAATTCTGCATTAGATTCTAAGTTGTGCCTACTAGGGCTAATGGTTGATAAGGAGATTTCATCTGAGATACGATAGATTATTATGCCTGGCTTGCAAATTAATACAACAATGAGTTGCTCCTACTCCCACCAGATCGCACCGAGATCTCAAAATGTGGATAGCTATTGTAAATGGCATCCTTATCTGAGAAAGATTAGTCTATATAGCTAGAGGCTCGCCTTGTAAATTTAAAAAACCTTGGGCCAACTGGTTTGATTTACCAGACCTTGATCCCTTATCATTAGTAGCTTTCTTAATGTGTACCTATGACTTTTTTATTAAATACTATGCACTAACCGACGTCCCCAAGGTCCCTTCACTTTTTTTACTCCGCCGGCTCGGTGCGGAGCTACAAACGGTCCTTGGTGGTCCACCTCGTCAATGCGGCCAGAGCATGTATCCCGGCCCTGTGGAAACGGGTCTCTCCTCCCACTATTAAGCTATGGCTCGGCAAGATCAATGACATCAGGCAGATGGAGGACCTTACCAGTTCCCTAAAGGGAACGGGGACTCGATTTCGCTACACCTGGTTTGAGTGGGACGAGTTCTCGTCCTCCCTGGAATATTTGAGCCTCCTGGACTGAGACTGCAGAGGCACCCTATTCTCTCCCCTCCCCCCCTTTTCTCTCTTTTCTTTTCTTTTTTTTCTTCCTTCTCCTCCCTTCTCCCTCCGATTCTAACTGGTCCTTCATAATGGCCCTAGATCTATCCCGTCCTGTCCCTCCCTAGAATTCTCCCTTCTGTTTTCCCTGTAAATCCTGGAAAACTGGTGAATGGCACAGATGGCCATACCGGTTTCCTCAATTGACTCCAGATATGTGCTTCTACGCTGTCAAATCACAATGATACCTCTTCGCTTATATGGCACAGCGGCAGGGAGACCCACCGAGGACGAATTACTATGCTTTCTTATAGACGCTGAATAGCGCAAGGTTGATTTATGTCTAGACCCCCTTGGGGGCGGTGGCCCTGGCGGATGCCATTCTGTGGATTGTTTGTTACGATTTATCCCTATACTTTTATGCTTCTGATTTGTATCTTATGTGTGCTGTTTGGAAAATAAAGAATTTTAAAAAATACTATGCACTAGATGTAGTCAGCTGGCTCTCCTGGTATAGCGTTGACTCTTACATTCTAGTCAGTCGACAAGTCTACACGGTCGGATCTAGGTTGGAGTCTCCCTGCCCTCATATTCTATGAGTAACACAATAGCTGGGCTTGCTGTACATCATTTGTATGTTTTCTCTTTCTTGTGATGATGTTTTACCCTTCTCTTGCTGAATAATTTTATTGTACACATGGTCCCATAGTAACATATTTTCATCATCTAGTACTGACCAGAGAAAGCAAACATATTCAAATGGGAACCTTTGTCAAACATAATCTTTATTGTTTGTATTTGAACTAGGGATTGGGATAGGAGGAGGGAGGATAGAGGGGAAAAGGGATAGTTTTGAATTGTTGTAAATTGTTAAATATAAAACACCCAGTTTAAGGATATTTGAGAATGAATCATTTCACATTAAAAGCAGCCAGAGAGATCAGAGCTGGCTTGTTTTGAAGCTCGGTTATTCCTTTTTAAGAGTATATAAATAGTTTAATGTCCATAGTCAGGGCACAGGTGCACTTTACGGATTGTGAAGGGGTAATGCATTTTTCGTTCCCGCCTTTTCATTTTGGCTGTTATAAACTCCATATATTTTTAGTAACTAGTTAAGTTAGTAACTTTTGCTGTGTTATAGATTGATAATCAAATTTGTTTTTCTTCTTTTTTTTTACAGCTATTCCTTCAGTGTTTTTTTTTTTACAAATGTACTAAGTATGGAGAATGATCAAAGGAAACAAGCCGAGGAAACTCAGGAAGAAGATAAATCTTGCAATGCTGAACAGATCTTCAGCTCTCAATGTGAGACATCTGACAGTGTCTGCTATAAAAGGCCAGTTTCAGAAAACTTTGCCTCAAGTAAAATGGAAGTTGGTAATGTTGAAAACCCACATTTGGCAAAAAGAATAAGACTTGAAACATTGGAATCTGCTCCAGAAAAATACAGCTTACCTACAAGTCAAACAGAAATAAGCAAAGTAATTGAAAGTGAAATCCTCTCTGCTAAATTATTCCCTCTAGCTTCCCCAGGAACAATGTCTACAAAAACCCAAGAAGGATGTAATCAAAATTTGCCAAACGTTCTTCAAAATATTACAGATAATACCATTGACAACAGCAGCTCTAGTTATGATGTTGTAGATGAACTTCTTTCAACTAAGTCACATGCAAATGCAAATAACATGCCTGGTGAAATGAAAGCAAACACTCATGTTGGCCTTCATGTAGAAACACAAAGCAACATCTTGGCAAAGGCCCCTTTAAAAGCAAAGGAAATGACTGCTGAAAAAGGAAAGCCTGATAAAAACATAGATTCAATGCATACATTAGACCCTTCCCCTACTTATGTACAAAACAAAATTGTTCTTAAGGAAGACGGCAAGACTATTCTATCATGCACGGATACTGTAAGTGACTTGGAGAAAGAGGGCGCTCCACTGACAAAAGAGAATAAAGAGGTTTCTCGCAGTGCTTCGAGATCAGGTTTTGGGAAGATCAGTTCTAAAAGAAATGCTGGGGAGGCCACAATAAAAAATGGTAAACCCTCCAAATCTAGCCTGGAGATGTCAGAAACAAAAAATGACCCTAACCTAATTTTTAATGCCATTGGCAAAATAATAGCCAGAAGACGACATGACCGGAAAGAACACCAAAGAAAAGGCTTATATCGAAGAAAGCATGGTTTTAAGCAGTTGAAAAAGCACCTGCAGCTGCTAAAGAAAAGAGGTACACTTAAAGATCATATTGCATTTATTAAAGACAATAAACTTCCCCCAAGTAATATTTTACCTGCGGAGCCAACACCTGAAACACCTCCACACACTGAACATGTTTCTGATTCAGGAATAATTAAGGATGCTCAAAGTGTTATTAATATACCGTCTTCTGCTTTTGAAATAGTACGCAATACACCCCCTATAATACAGTATGGCTGTATATACTGTGAGAGTGTTGTTGCCAGCAAAGAAGACATGTTTGTTCATTTTTGGAAGCGACATGCAAGACAAATGAAGTTTTATTGTCAAACATGTGGATACTCCTGTGTTACCAGGGGAGACTTTGAAAAGCATTGTCATAATGACATACATGACGAGACAAATGTGTCGTTAAATTGTTACTTGTGTGGTTTAGATGCTTCCGATGAGTCCACTTTCAGAATCCACATGACTGCCAAGCACAAGATGCCGTTCCATTGTAATAGTTGCAAAGTATTTTTTAAGTCTAATGATGACAGATTGCATCATGAAACAGCAGAAGAACATATATGGGACAATGAAAAAATGTGCAATCCCTCTGGTGCAGACAATTTGGAATTGAAGTCAGATGCAAACACATCTCTTCCAGCAGTTCAAATTAGTACTGTTGTTAACACTGTTGAAATTTCAGTGCAAGAAGTAGTGGTAAATGAGGTGAAAAGGCGACAGTTTCAATGTAAACAATGTTTCTACAAGACAAGATCATCAACTGTTTTGACAAGACACATCAAACTTCGCCATGCGCATGAATTTCACTTTTTATGCAAGGCTTGCAATATTTACACAATGCATAAGGAAGGTATGGAAAGACACATTAAAAGAAGTAAACATATTGAAAATGCAAGGAAAAACAATATTGGATTGCTTTTTGAAGAATGTATTGAAAAAGTTTCATATGAAGGATTTACAGAAATTGCCAGTACTCACAAGGATAGGTCCCAAAGTGAAGATTTTAACACCACTTCTACAGAAGACTCCTATTGTTCTAAACACGCTGCTTCTCAGGCAGAACACACTGATTCAAATACACCAAAAAAAGGGAGGCCTAAAGGAAATATCTCTATTTCTTGTACTCACTGTGGTCTTATGGCCTCTAGCGTTACAAATCTTAAAGTGCATATTAGGAGGAAACATACGCATCAGTATAATTTTAAATGCAAATTATGTAATTATGACACAGTGACTAAAGGTGATATGGAACGGCACTGTCTAACCAAGAAGCATATAAGTCGTGTAGAAGATCAGCCTGCTGGCCAACGGAAAAATGAAATTGTGGTGACAATAGAGGGACAAAAATTTGAATCTGTTAAGAAAAAGGGAAGTATAGGCAATGTAGCAAGTAAAAATGTTGGGACAACTTCTGTTTGTTTACCAGGCTCTCAAAAGGAACATTCTGTAAATGTTGATAGTACTATTAATATACAAAGTGAAAACTCATTAAAAGACTATGTGGACAATGGTATAGCTGAAGATAGTCAAGTCCAGGGTATGTGCACTGACAACAGTGGTAACCAATGTTCTCATTGTGAGTTTGTTGGTGACTCTGCATCTTTAGAGCTGCATGTGAAAGGTAGTCATATAAAAGAATTTGAGTATTACTGTAAAGCCTGCAATTACTATGCTGTATCACACCAGCAGATGAGCTCTCATGTGTTAACTGAGAAACATATGGTTAACCATGAATCTGCTCAATCCAGTGCTTCTCTTCTTGACAAGATGGCTTGCAACTTACATAATTCACCTGAAAATCTTTCCTGTGGCAAAATAAGGGAAGAGTCAATTCAACCTGCTCCGCTTCTAGAACCAAACAAAGTGAATGTTGTGGAGAAAAGTTTGGATGCTAAAATAGCAGTTGAGCATGAGCTTGTGGAAACTGACCAACATGTAATTTCAGACTCTGAGAAAAACAGAGTTGTTGTTTTAAGAAAACAGGAAAGTGGGGATGAAAATCTGTTAGTGGATACTCTAGTACAGGAATATACTGTTAATGCAGTCAGTGACCATATAGAAAATGAACATACAGGGGCAGAAAGTTTACCGGAAGACGCTGAGTTATGCACTGCTCAAATTTCAGAAAATGGTGGAACATCTGAACATGTCAGCACATACAGAAAGACCAACAGTGGCATCCTATTTGATTCTTCCATTGTCAAATTGAAAATGGATTGTAAAAAACAATCGGACAACCATGCAAGCAGCGTGCCAGAACCCAAACCTCAATCAACGAAAAAGAAGAAATTTAATGGCAGTACTCAAGGTGATTCCACCCGAATACGATGTGATGAGTGTGGTTTTCTTGCTGATGGTCTTAGTGGTTTGAATGTTCACATTTCCATGAAACATCCAGTTAAAGAAAAACACTTTCATTGTTTACTCTGTGGCAAATCATTTTTCACAGAAAGTAATCTTCATCAGCACCTGGCTAGCATTGGCCACCAAAAGAATGAACAGGCCAGCTTTGAAGAGCTACCCGAAGGTGGTGGAACATTTAAATGTGTAAAGTGCACAGAGCCTTTTGATTCTGAGCAAAGTCTATTTATTCACATCAAGGAAGAGCATGAAGAGCTGCTGAGAGAAGTGAACAAATACATTGAAGAAGATACAGAGCAGATCAACCGGGAGAGGGAAGAGAACCAAGGGAACATCTGCAAGTACTGTGGCAAGACGTGCAAAAGCAGCAATTCTATGGCATTCCTTGCACATATCCGCACTCACACAGGTATGTCAATTGAAGACAGACTTTCTGCACAACATAATATTTATACAAGTTGTAAAATGCCAGGGAACATAGTAAGAACAACTGAAATATAAATCAGGCAGATCAGAAATATTATGAAACCTGTATTCTTTACCACCAAACTTATGTCGGTTTCATTTATTTTTGTTAGGCCTCAAACATCTTCCTGCAGTTTGTTGCAGTTTAACATAAAATTTAAAAAATGCGAAGGTTTTTCTTGCGCTGTCGTTATTTTGAAAATGTGCCCTCTTTGACTAGAAACAGAGCTGAAATGTAGGATTAACATTTGTCAAAACATTATGATAGGATCACTTTTCTTTTAGACTTGACTTTATGTCTGTGTAATGTCACATTGAGATATTCTGTATGAACTGTAATCTGAAAATAACTCTAGCATAACTTTCAACACTTTTTGTGTCTATTATATGTGTACATTATCGCAGATGCTGGTAATCGGCTAATGTCTAATGCATGCAAAACGCACTAAGCACGATGGACGAGGCGCTAAACAAAATGTGCACTAATATTCGCGAAAACGCGAAAGCCACACTCCTGGCAGAATGCTAATTTACACACTGAACAGGGTGTGTAAATTATCATTAAAAAGCTGGGTGTTCTGTGCAGAGGGCTGCTGCAAATTAGGTAAATCTTACCTTGCAGCATGGTATCCCCTGCACAGAATGCCTAGCTTCCAGGAGAGGGCGTGATGCATCCAGAGCTATACAGTAATG